AAGCCAGGCATTCCCTTTCTGGTGATAAGCCAGGGAGGGTGTGTGGGGCCCATGGGAGATGGACTGGCCTCCTCTCCTTGGGTCAACTGCAGCTTGTTGGAGGGGTAAATAAGGCACTTAGGGTCTTTGCTTCTTCATTAGTCCACGGGTGGCATGGGCCGTTCCACTGTAAAGACAGTGACCAAGTGGCTGTCAGTTGCTGCTGGGCCTCTGTCCAGAGAGTTACTGATTTGGTACTAGCTCAGTAGCTTTGCTGGGGGGGTGGCTGGAGGTCCAGGCCTGGAGGACCTGCCCAGCAAGGAGATATGGGAACAGGCACCTATGTAACAGTCTGGCCACTTTTCCATAGGGCTGCTGCAATATGCTTGGGGCCTGTTTCCGTCCCTAGTCACCTTGGATTTTCCAGAACCTGGAGGTGTGTCACCAGTGAAGCCTGCCAAACAGCAAAGATAGCAGCCTGTCCTTCCCTGTGGGAGCTTTGTCCCAGAGAGGTATGAACCCATTGCTGGATCAAAGGCACCTGCAGGAAGTGGCTGGAGACCCCAGTTGAGAGGCCTCACCTTGTGAGGAGGAAGGGGATTGGGACCCACTTAAAAAAGCAGTCTGGCCACGTTTTGGTTGAGCAGCTGTGCTGTGCTAGGGGTCCACCTTACTCCCTGTCACCTCACACACTTTGAAGGCCAAAGGCTGGAATGGTCAAGTCACGCAAACAGCAAAGATGGCAGCCCACCTCTCTCTTGGAGTACCATCCCAGGGAGAATTCGGATGTCTGTCATCTGGAGAGCTCTAGTGGGGGGATGCTGGAGACCCCAGTTGTGAGCTCCTACCCAGTGAGAGGATCAGGACCAGGTACCTGCTTAAAGCAGCAGCCTGGCCACATTTTGGTAGAGCAGTTGTGCTATGCTGGAGGATTCCTTCCACCCTGGGTCAGCTCAGATGCTTCAAAGCCTGAAGGCTGGAATGGCTAAGGCACCTGAACAGCAAAGATGCTGGCCCGCCTCTTTCCCTGGGAGCTCCTTCTTAGTGAAGTGCAATGCCACCACTAGTAGCCAGCTGGAATTCCAAGCCAATGAGTCTTGTGAAGTGCCATGTAAGTATGTACAGGAGTGTAACTTTTCACTTAGCCAAAGCTGCATCTATTTTTGCTGGAAAGCCTGAGTATCTAAGGCTCCAAGGCCTCCATGCATGCCTGAGTGGCTGCTCTGCCAGGACTCCACATAGGTTTACCTGTCAGACTGAAGACTGAGGCTCTGATTGAGTGGGTTCACAAGGAGATATCCTGACTCAAGGATTGCAAAGATATGCAGAAGAAGTGTAGTTTCCCAGGATCATTCATTCACTTAGCACTTCCCTGGGTTGGGGAGGATCCACCGGCTCCCTGTTGCTCCCAGGTGGGTTGTTGTCCTGACTTGCTTTTCTTCATTCTCTGTGTGTTAAGTTGTTTTCTTGATTAATCCCAATGTGAGTACCTGGATGTTTCAGTTGAAGGTGTTATATTTATCACTGTTTCTGTTCCTCTCCATGAAAGCCAAACATACTAGCTACTTCTAGTCAGCCATCTTGACCACTCCTCCCATTTATATATATTTACTATACATTTATGGATTTTTTAATGGATTTATCCTGGCTGTGAAACTTTTCTTTTCGTTTCACAAGTCTATCTGGCATGCATTAAAGAACATTAAGAAAGTTAAAATTCACTTCACAGCTGATCCAGAAGAGCTCAAAAGGTTATGTGAATCACTAATTTTTTGCATAAGGTTATTATTTGGAGCAGAGACAGGAAAAAAAAACAGTTTCTTTTTAATTACTGGAGTAATCCTAGAGTAGGGAGTTGAAGACTAATTACCTCTTTGACTTTCTTTCATTACCTTGACTCACTTAACCCCTATGAATAAACACAGGGGTTATGTAACTACAATTCATTCACCAGATCTTAAATACCCAATGCTTAACTATACTTAGTTCTGATCAAGAAGTGAGGTTAAAGAAAACATGTATGTGTTAAATCTTCAAACAAAAAATTTAATCAAATTTCCTTTTAGAACATTTTTGTCTACTAATCTTGGACAAAAGCTGATAATAGAAGCCAAATTGACTAGTTTGAGTAACAAATTTTACTTCTTGTTCTTATTCTTCTTATGAGGGCACAAAGAGAACAAAAGGCAGTTAGCCAGAAAGACAGAGTAGCTGGGTTGTTAAAAGGAATTAGGGTAAATAAAAAAGAGCAATTGAAGAAAATTAAAGGATCCTGGATAGTAGACTGGTTCTGATTGAGAACTCACTTTGCCTTATTTATTGCTCAGAACACTCCTCATCTGTGCTTGGCATTATCTTGGATATTTCAGGAGATCATTAAAGTATAGGGTCACAGCATTGAGATTGCAGACTCTATAGGAGAAGGAACTAATGTTATTCCTTTTGGTGTTTAGCATAAAAATGCAATCATCAGTGTTCAGTAGATATCATTCATTGATTCATTCAACAAAATTTATTGAACGTCTACTATATGTCTAAAACCATTCTATACACTGGTGAAACAGTGGTATCTGGCATTGAGTCTTGTCCTCATAGAATTTACATTCAAGAAGGGAGAGAAGGCAGAAAATAAACAAATAAGCAAGTAAATAAAATAATTTGGATTATAAATCCTATAATTAAAATAAAACAGGGTGATGTAACGTTGAGTTCGGAGTGGGTAACATTAAATGGAAAAATTAGGGAAGGCTTCCAAGAAATGATATTTGAATTGAGACTAAAGGCTGAGAAAAACCCTTGCATATAAAAAGAGAAATAACTTTCTAAGCAGAGTAAAGAACTAGTACAAAAATCCTTAGTAAAAAAATGGGCTTGATGTGTTCAAAGAAAGAAATTCAACATGGCTGAAATGTTGATATGACAGATGTCTCATGCTGGGCTTTGTAGGATACAGTAGCATATTTGGTTTTGTTGTCAGTTCAGTGGAAAGTCACACTGGAGAACTGCCTCTATGGTAATAATTCTAAATACTGTACAGAGAATGGTTTGGAGGGGGCCATGACTATAAGCAGGAAGAAGAGTTCATAATCTGACAGAAGTCTAAGAAAGAGATGATGTCTTTAACTAGAGTGTGACAATGAAGATAGAGAGAAATGGGCTTCGAGGTCTATTTTATAAATAGAACAAACAAAACTTGCTGGCTCATTGAACATGGAGCATGAAGGAAAGAGAGGAATCAAGCATGAGCATAAATACTTTGGTTTGAGCAACTGGATGGGTAAGGAACACAGGAGGTAGAGCAGGTTTGGGGCTGGTGGTGAGAAAGGATCAAAAAATTTGGTTTTATCATGTTTAATTGGAGATGCCTGTTAGACATCAAAGTGGAAATATTGAATAGACAGTTGGATATGTGAATACAGATCTCAGGAGACAAGTATGGGCTGAAAATATAAATTTGTTATCAGGATGAGGGTGCTATTTAAAGTCATGTCAGTGGGCTTACGGCCAAAGTATAGATACAGAGGAAAAAAGACCTCAGTAACAAGCCCTTAGATGCTTCAACATTTAGAGGTCAGGTAGTGAAGGAGTAGCTGGGTTGTTAAAAGGAATTAGGGTAAATAAAAAAGAGCAATTGAAGAAAAACCCAGAGCATGTGGTGGGATACCAGCGAGAGAAGGAAGAAAATATTTCAAGAAATACAGAAAGGTCTACTGTATTAAGTGCTACTGAGAGATCAAATCAGATGAGGACAGAGCAATTACTATTAGATTTGGCAATATGGAGGTGGTTGATAACCTTGACAACAGCGCTTTCAGGAAAGAGGTGGGAACAGAACCCTGAAATAAATGGAAAAGTGAAAGAGTGGTGAAGGAGTGATGAAAATGAGGGTAGACAACTTTTTTTTGAGATGTTTTATAATGATAGGAAGCAGAAAAACGAGGCAGTGGCTAAGAGAAAATGTGGAATTAAGTAAGCATTTTATGGAATTCACATGTATATGTTAATAGAAATGATCCAATAGAAAAGAAAAAAGTGTTAATATAGGACACAATGGAAATAATTGCATGAGTAAAGTTCCTGTGGAGGCAAGAGGTGGCAGAATCCTGAGAACATTTGGAAGGATATGTCTTTTATACAAGCAGAGAAACTTTATTCACAGCAGAGTGTATTAATACAGATGCAGATAGGTTGGTAAATTTGATGGTGAGAAGATGAAATAGTTCTCTTCTGATTGTTTATATTTTATTGGCGAAATTAGAAGCGAGGTTATCTGGGAATAAACGACATAGAGAAGCTGGAGGTTTGCAGAGAGAGAAGATAGTGAAATATTTGTCTCAGAGAATAGAAAAATTATTAATTAGGAAATTGTAGCAGTGCTGTTGAACCCTCAAAATTCTTTATTATAAATTTTAGAAACTTCAATTCATCTGAGAAACCCAGATCTAGCTTTCCATAGTTCAGTATACTCCTCGTTCTGAGCAATGCTTCCCTAGATAGAGTCTTTATTTTGTAACAATTTGTAAAACTTCATTGGCATTAGGAAGGAGAATAAACAGTGCAACTCCTTTGCCTGTTACTTCAAATACACAAGGCTCCTACTCAGGGTGTTCCACATAGATTAAATGTAACTTCATATCTTCCTGCACACATTTTTTTTTGATATTTGAAATGTCATCAGTGAGTCCCACAAACGTCTCTTCATTTAGTTAACTTTTCTCAGCTTGCAGATGATATTTTGCAATTTGATCATAAATTTAAATGGGAATATGCTCACTTTCCTACACTTATATCCTAATGAGCCCCCTATAAATGACTTCATATTTATACTTTGAAATTGTCAAGCTAAACCATGGCTTAATGCTGCATTTGACACATCTGTCCCACATTCTCACAGCATTCCCCTCACTGTGGCTGTGGAAAAATGGAATCCGTGATTTTGTCTATATAATACCCAAACGTGTGTGTCAAGGGTTTTTTTTAAAAATAAGACATGGAAGATAAATTTCTTTTGATGGAGAAAGTGGAAGCCACATTGACCATATTTCTGGAGAATATGGGGAGGCCCAGCTTTGGGTCTACCAATTGTGACTTCAAGTCAGTGTGACCAGGACAGTCCCAGTATCTGCCTGTTATTTTAATGTAAACCTTAACAGCTGCCACCGTCACTCTCATAAGTGTTCTGGTTTGGACAAAAAATTGTATGGTCGCCCTACATCCACACTTTGATACAGTCACTATTTCCAGAGAAAACTACCTTCACTAACTAGCTGCTGTTTTTTTTCTGAACCCTCATGTGCACATATGAGTGGAGTGCAATGCTCTTATAACCACTACCATCTCTACTATTTCTGGGACCTGATCTCAAAAGCAATCTCATCATTGCCATTACTCTCTGACCCTGCCTTCTACTCTATAATTTTCTACTCTTTGAGTTTTGCTTAAAACAATTTTCTATATCTACCTAGTTGGATAAAGGGCTGGATTTGGATTAATAAGTTTAAATGCAGTCCAAACTGGTAAAACAAGAGACACACAGCCATCCCTCTACATTCTGAGACCCCCTACTGCTTTCAAAGGAATCCTCCCTAATACGTCCACACTGCTGAAGCTAGAGAGTCTGTGTTTAGGGCTCCCAAATCCAGATTTTATACAGGCCTCTTTTCATCCCATCAGATATACTATTCTTTCTTGCCCAACAAGAGAAAGAAGCCTGGACCAATGAAATTAGGTCCACCATGAAAGAAAAGGCTGCCCCTTTAAGAACTGAGACATGGAGTGGTCAGGAACCCTTGATTGTGCCCACTATGACATCAGGAAGCAGAGCTCAGAGGGACTCGCAACAGGCACAAGTGAAGCTTTCTTGCCAATCTTGATTGAAATCACATTTCAAAAGTCATGGTTTTCTTTCTTTGTTGTATTGTGATTTTATATTTTATTTTAAAGAAGATTGTGGAAAAGAGAAAGAAAACGAAGGCCAGGAGACAAAACAAGGGTATCTAAAGAACAAAGTACAAAGATTGGGTCAGTCTTATTTTTCCTGTTTCTATCAGCTTATCTTTTCTTATGATACATAACCTCTATCTTACCCTTGATATTATTACCAGTCCAAGAATTTTTAGCCCTCAAGGGTAGTTGTGGGCATAGCTGAAACTTAGGAGTAGGTCACAGTATATATTTCACATACTATTTGATCTTTTTAAATCAAAGCGCAATGAATTATTTTACAGACTGACTCAAATTTCCTTGTGTAAAAATAACTGTATCAAAATGGCTATGTAAAAATACATTTGATTTCAAAACCACTCGATCAAATGATCATGTCATAATATGTGTATGCAAATACATACATACAATACATATTGTATATGTACATACTTTTAACTGGTGTGGCTATAAGAATAGGTTCTGTGTAGATCTCATTTGGATCCAATATTATATGCCTCATGTCTGTTTTAAATGCCAAATTCTTGCTTCAGTGCTCACATTACTGCAATTTAGTCTTTACTCATGTACTTACTCAGAGTGTGGTCTTTAAGTACCAAGTCTTTATCAGTTGATTTGTATGGATTAGTTTCCCTCCAATCCCTCTATGATATGTTTTGGCTGTTTGATGTTGCAGGTCTTTGTATTCCACCTAAGTACTTGCTGCCTGAGTTATTTGTATCTACTGTGTTTTCTCTGGAGATACGTGTTTTTCAAACTATGACAATGGGAAGGGGGATTTAAATTTAACCCCTTTAGATGGAAAGGTCACTTAGTGCTTAGAGTGGTGGCTGAAATGTATCTTCCATTTGCACTTCCAATTCAGTGGGCCATTATATAGAGAGATGATGATGGTGATGAAGATGATGGTGAAGATGAAGATAGATATAGAAAGAGACTTGCTAAATTGTCAATATAATATATAAACATTTTCCCTTTAGCAATTACCTTTCTCATTTCCAAAGATTAGTCCTGGAGCTATCTTGATATTTAGATATTAGAATGTAGAATTAATGTGAGCTACTATATATTGTATTTCAAATGTCCTTAAAATCATGGCTAACCGTTTCTTCTCTCTACTCAAAAAAAAAATCCGTGTGCAGACTCTCTGGAGCGCATCCCTTCAGAGAGTACTTCCTGAAAGCCCTGTATCTCCACTATCTCGATTCTCTGGAGTAAATCACGAGTAAGTTATCTTAAAAGAGATGTTCAAGCATGTAAATACTAAGAAAGCAGAATCTTATTTGGGAAGAATTTTAGTAGACAGTTTTATCTACTTATCCTTTGGTAGAAGGTAGGGTTTCAGGGAAAGGAACATAGAGATAACAATGTTGGGTTTATATTAGAAAAGAGGATGCTCTTTTACACATTTCCTGATTTAAAAAAAGTCAGCGCTGACTAAAAGTAATCTGTAAGATTTTAAAAACTGTACTTCATTTATCTAAGTATCATAGTAATTTCTCATATATCCTGAGAAGAAACACAGAAAAATTCCCTAAAAAACACCCTAGTTTGAGTGAGAAATAGAATAAAAGGAGAACTGTTTCATTCTTTCAGTTTTATGAGAATGCCATTATTTTGTTATGTCTGCTATATCAATCTAATGTATCTTCTGAATGACTTCATTTATTTTTTTCTACAGAATATAGTCATAACATTCAATTTCATCATAACTCTTAATACTTTCTGATTGTTTAACTTTTTAAAGTATCCTATAATATATATTTTTTATTTTTTCATTTGAAATAGCTTTATGATTCATGAGTCCAAAGAGGACAGTCTTTCCATCTATCCATCTTATAACTGATGTGGCTCCTAAGGAACAGCAAAACCTGAAACAATTATGGGAACAAGCATTTGTCAACCTCGCACATGAAGCCACTCTTTGTATGTATTATGCATCTCAATCTCTATATATGGTTATCAACATAATAATTCAAGTAAAGGTAATATAATAAATACTAAGACTTCACTATAGCAAAATGATATAATGCAATTAGACAAATTCTGCCAGACAGAATTAGACAAATTTCAAGACAAATGCTTGGGAAGTTTAGTTTATATGACCCACTGTCACTACTATTTTATTTTGCAAAATGGGATTAGGAAATAGGAATCAAATGTATAGAATATATAATGATATGGATTAATATATTTATATATAAGTATGCATAATATATATTTATATTTAAATTTAAATCTTTAGAAGGAGATTTCAGATCAAATGAAAACTGATTAAGTGCCATTACACTGGTTAACCCAGAAATGAGTCAGATCTTACATTTTTGAAGTCATTAAATTACCATAATTTAGCAAGGCAACTGCTGTTTTGTGTTTTAGTCCACTTAAATAATGCATTACATAGTACATTGCTCAAGCTAATTTTGAACACTAGCTAATTACTTCACTAGCTATAAGACATGTTAACAGGTAACGTAGAATGCAAACTATTTCCTTGTAGAAGTGTTTACAAACATAAATCAGAGAAATAGTGAAACAGATTGTCAGCTGAAAGTTATCTTTACGATTTTTTTTGATAAGTGCATTGAATTATGGAGCTAGTTCACGAAAAGTGGATAACTGGTATTTGTTAACATAAGAAGTTGTGGTTATTTTCAGAGGGGGACATTTTTGGTTGACCACATAGCAAAATAACATTCCCCCAAAAAACTGCACTGTGAATTAATGAATGACCTCAAAGTGATAAATAAAGAAAACACAGATTTGTAGTTGTAAGGATTTTACTTATGCAGTAAGACAAAATGCCAGCTGAGAGATTAAATAAAAACAGATTTTTCTAATATACTTGGCATATTTTAGGATAGATGTACCATCTATGTGACAAGTGATGAAAAATAGAACTGGGAAAAAAGAACTTTCATGGGACATGTAAAATCATTAAGAGAATTAAATAAGAGAGAATGGCAGTGAACTCATTTTGGGTCAATATATGTGGAAACTCAAAAAGATAAAACGTCAGTCAATAAAGAGGAAAGGGTAATATTGAGAATATAGAGGGGAAACTGGGTGGGTTTAAATGTAAGTGGCTTCAGAATCAGTTTTGATCTGTATATTAGTTCCCTATTGCTGCAAATAGGGAACTAATTATCAGCTTCGGCAACTTTAAAAAACACACACATTTATTATCTCACAGTTTCTGTGTGTCTTAGTTCATTTTGTGTTACTATTAAAAAAAAAAAACGACCCTTTGGGAGGCTGAGGTGGGCGGATCACAAGGTCAAGAGATCAAGACCATCCTGACCAACACAGTGAAACCCCATCTCTACTGAAAATACAAAAATTAGCCGGGCATGGTGGCATGCCCCTGTGGTCCCAGCTACTCGGGAGGCTGAGGCAGAAGAATCGCTTGAACCCAGGAAGCAGAGGTTGCAGTCAGCCGAGATTGCGCCACTGCACTCCAGCCTGGCGACAGAGCAAGACTAGATCTCAGAAAAAAAACAAAACAAAAAAACAAACAAAAAAAAACTATGGTTGACTAATTTATAAAAACAAACCATTTATTTGTCTCACGGTTCCTGTACAAGAAGCATGGCACCAGCATCTATTACTGGTGAGGAGTTCAGGCTGCTTCCACACATGGTAGAAGGCAAAAAGGAGCTGGCATGTAGAGAGATCACATAGCAAGAAAGGATACAAAGGGGTTTCCAGGCTCTTTTTAATAATCAGCTCTCATGAGAACTAGTAGAGCAAGAAGTCACTTACTACTGAATGGCTCTAAGCCATTCATAAGGAATCCACCACCGTGATCTACTAGGCCTCATCTCCAAAACTGGGAATCTCATTTCAACATGAGTTTTGGAAGGGTCAAATATCCAAAGTGTAGCATTCGACCCCTGAACCCCCCCAAATATCATATCCTTCTCACATGCAAAATACAATCATTTTATCCCAATAGTTCCCAAAAACTTTAGCTTGTTCCAGCATCGACTCAGAAATCCAAAGTTCAAAGTCCTATCTAAGACTCAAGGCAATTTCCTTACAACTATGAGTCTGTATATCAAAAAAACAAGTTATTTACCTCCAAGGTACAATGGTGGTACAGGTATTCAGTAAATATTCCCATTCCAAAATAGAGAAATTGGCCAAAAGAAAGGGGGAATAAGCCCTACACAATTCCAAAACCCAGCAGAGCAGACATTAAATCTTAAACCTCCAAAATAATCTACTTTGACTCCATGTCCTGCATCATGGGCACACTGGTAGGCAGGGTGGGCTCCAAAGACCTCAAGAAGCCCCACTCCCATAACTTTGCTAGGTGCACCCATGTGGCTGCTCTCATGGGCTGTAGTCCAATGTTTGCAGTTTTATTTGGCTGCAGTTGCATGCTTCCAGGGGCTCTATAATTCTGTAGTCTGGAAGGTGGTGGTACTGCCCTAGTAGGCACCATTTGTGGGGGCTCCAACCCTTATTGCATTCTGAGCACCTGTGGCTATAATACCATATGCATGCCACCAAGGCTTATAGCTTACGCCCTCTGGAGCAGCAGCCTGAGCAGTACCTGGGGCTCTTTGAGCCACAGCTGGAGCTGGAGCAGTGGGAATGTGGGAAAGAACATCCTGAGACAGCATAGGACAGCAGTATCCTGGGCCTGGCTCCCAAAACAATTCCGTCTTCTTAGGCCTCTGAGCATCTGATAGGGCCTATCACCCATCGTCTTGACTATCAGCATCTGGCTTCCATTTAGTCATGGTAATCTTTTTAGCAAATGGTAGTCCCACAATGTCCTTGGATTCCTCTCCTGAAAACACTCTTTTCTTCTCTATCACATGGCCAGGCTGCAAATTTTCCAGATTTTTAAACTTTGCTTCCTTTGTAATCATAAATTTCAACTTAAGGTCATTCGTTTACTCCAAGATTATATTGTAAGTTGTTAAAAGCAGTCATGCCATTCATGAATGCCTTGCTACTTAAAAATTTCTTTCACCAGATACCCTAGGTCATCACTCTTAAGTTCAGCCTTCCACAAAGCCCTAGGGGTTCTTTGCTACAGTGTCACATGGACCTTTCTCCAGTTACCATTAAGTTGCTCATTTCCATTTGAGACCTCACTAGCATGGCCTTTTCTTTCTATATTTCTATCAGCATTTTGCTCACAACCACAACCAATCTCTAAGAAGTTCCAAACTTTCACCTATCTCCAAGTCTTCTTTCGAATGCTCCAAACTTTTCTAACTTCGGGCCATTACCCAGTTCCCAAGCTGCTTTCACATTTTCAGGTATCTTTATAGCAATGCCCCATCCTTGGTACCAATTTTCTGTCTTGGTCTGTTTTTGTTTTGCTATAAACGAACACCCAAAGCTGGGCAATATACAGAAAAGACATTTATTTGGCTCACAATTCTGCAGATAACTGGGAGTCTGATGAGAACCTCAGTCTGTTTCCACTCATGGCAGAAAGTGAAGGGAAGCTGGCATATACAGAGATCACATGGTGAGAGAGGAAGCAAGAGCAGGAAGGTGACAGACTCTTTTTAACAGCCATCTCTCATGGGAATAAATGGACTGAGTACTCACTACTGAGAGAAAGCACCAAATCATTCATGCGTAATCTGCCCCCATGACTCAAACACAGCCCACTAGGCCCCACCTCCAACACTGGAGATCAAATTTCAACATGAGATTTGGAGGGGTCAAATATCCAAACTATAGCACCATGAGTCAGGAGTCTGAATATTGCTTATCTGGGTCCTCCACTCAGGGTCTTTCAATGCTATGATCAACGTGTCAGGCAGACTGCATTCTCATGTGGAGTTTGGGTCCTTTTCCAAGTTCATTCGTTTGTTGGGAGAATCCACTTCCTTGCAACTGTAGAACTTCATTCTTTCTCCTACTCCGTTCCTTGCTAGCTGTTATCTAAAGGCCACTGTCAGTTCCTAGAGGCCACTTGCAGTTGCTACATGGCCCTCTGTTAGACCCTCTCACTACATTGCAGTTTACCTCTTCAAGGCCAGCAGAAGAATGTCTAGCTTCATTCTTCTAGGATGGAGTCTTAAATAACAATGGATTCAAGAGAGTAACTATTGTATTGATATTCGCTCTCATTCTTTCCATATTGGCCAGAAGCAAGTCACAGGTTCTTCCTATGCTCAAGGGGAGGGGTTTATGCAATTGATGTAGCTCAGTAAGGGTGTCATTCAATGTGTGTGCAGATAAACAACAATTTATCCTTTAAAGAGGACTAAAATTGAATAACTCAGCTTTTCCCAAGGTGAACAAGAAAAAAATGATGACCCTTAAAGTTATAGAAAGCCTGGGACAAATAATCTTTTTTTTTTTTGAGACCGAGTCTCACTCTTGTCGCCCAGGCTAGAGTGCAGTGGCCCAATCTCAGCTCACTGCAACCTCTGCTTCCTGGGTTCAAGTGATTCTCCTGCCTCAGCCTCTCGAATAGCTGGGATTACGGGCATCCACCACCACGCCCGGCTAATTTTTGCATTTTCAGTAGAGACGGGGATTCACCATGCTGGCCAGACTGGTCTTGAACTCCTGGTCTCAGGTGATCCACCCACCTCGGTCTTCCAAAGTGCTGGAATTACAAACGTGAGCCACCATACCTGGCCCAGATAATCTTTTAAAAGTGAATGAACCTAATCGAGGAATGTGATATTTTCATTCATTCAACCAATTGGTTAAACCAACTGGTGTCTAGTGTGTGCCAAGAGCTGTGGTATTTAAACAATGATGAAAAAAATTATTGTCTCTGACCCATGGAACTATACTATACTGGAGGGAAATATATATTAAACATGTGAATATGTATACAATTAAAAACTGTGATAAGTACTACAAAATAAAAGCCCAATTGGTACTGAGAGAGAATGACAAGGGTGATGCAATCGCCTGTGGTGCAATGTGTGTATCAATATTACCCTTAATTATAGCCACTAAAAGAAAAGCGATAATGGTACAAGAGGTGGATAAGAGTCTCAAAAGAGAAGTGGGTCAGAGCTGCTTTTTGTAGCCACCTCAGTCAAAAAGCAGTGGTAGAAATTTCCAAGAAGTAGGGGCAGGTTTGGAGGTGGAAGAGGCAAAGTACGACAAAAAGTTGAAGTGACATGGATATTGATAAGGGAAAGACAGTGCCCAAGACAAGAAAGAACATGCCAAAAGTTCCTTAGGAATAGCTGTGGAAAAGGTTCATCTCAATCTGGGCTGACAAATGGAACTTTTCCCCAAGAAAGCTCTCATTGTACTTTTATTTCAAGGATACATGGTAACCAAGCTCAGCATTCTATTAAAGCACATTGTTAAAGCTGCTCTCACTGAGTGTCCCAGTAATATATTAGTTTTCAAATCCAAAAGCCTATTTTAAGACTTCACCTTATCTGATCTCACTATAGACATTTGACATTTAATGCTTCCTGAACACTTCCAGGCTAATACTCCTGGTGGTCTGCCTATCTCTCTCACTATAATTCCTCAAACTCCTACTGAAACACCTTCAACTCTGTACACAGCTTAAATGTTGTTATTTTCCAGGGTTCTGTCCTGTTGGTTAATTTCAAATCTAATTTCAGTTCATAAACATCTCTCTAGACCAGTGATTCTAATAGTCTATGGTATAGTTGTACATTTGTATTTCTAACAACCTTTTAAAGACAGAAATTGTTACCTCTCCAACCCACCCTGCTCCTGTCCTGTATTCTGTACCACTGTGAATGGCATCATCTACCCAGTCATCTAAGCCTGAACACTGTGAACTCTAGAAGAAACTTTTATCTCCTTTACTGCTCTCCCTAAATCAAATCATGTACAAAGTCATAGGGATCCTTTGTCATAAATAACAAGTGACCAACTCATCTCAGTTCCTTGGGAAGGTCCTTGTTTTAAAGCCAAAAGTCCTACATCCTGGAAACCCCTTGAGTCCTGTGAAAATCTATTCCCTCTGCTATGGACTTAGTTTAAGTTTTAATTATGTCCCTTCCAAAGTATTGCTAATTCCTTTACCATCCTTTCCATTTCAGGATTAACTGTTACCCTGTTGCCAGAGTAATCAACCTGATTTTGATACAGCTTAAAAGACAATTGACCTTATTGCCTATAGGTCAAAGTCAAAAATCCTCAAGAAAGCATAAAAGACTCTTCATATTCTAGTTCCTCTTATCTCTCTAGGTCTCCAGCTTTATCTTTTGCTGCTCTTGGAATTGCACCCTAAGCTCTAGCCATACCAAACTTACTGCTTCCCAAGTATATGTTTTCCAAGTATTTATGGTTTCATGCCTGAAATACTCGAAATCATCCACAAAATACCTACTTTGAATATCACATTTCTCATAAAGCCTTTCCAAAATGTCTAATCAGAGGCAGTGTTCTCTCCTCTGCCCTCCCAGCAGCAGTGTGTTATTGCCTTCATTCTTGTCCTACGGTATTCATGTTATAATTATTTGTCTACATCTATTGTTCTGTATTTCCGACTTGACTTGAAACTCATCCAGATAAGACTCTATTCTTTTTATTATTATCTTGCTCTATTTTATTATTCTTGTTTCCTCAGCACCAAGAATAGTGCCTGCCACAAAGTGGTGGGTAACAAATATATATTTTTTAAATTTTTGAATCATTCTTGTATGAATGTAGAAGATGGCCACTGTAATGTTTTTCAGTAAACATAAAAAATTCCCACCATTATTCTAAGCAAATTAATGCAGGAATGTAAAAACAAATACCACATGTTCTCACTTATAAATGGGAGCTAAACAATGAGAAGACATGGACACAAAGAGGGGAACAAGAGACACTGGGGATTACTTTAGAGTGGAGAGTGGAAGAAGGGAGAAGATTAAAAAAAAACACCAATTGTATACTATCCTTATTACCTGGGTGAAAGAATAATCTGTACCCCAAACCCCTGTAACACAAAGTTTACCTATATAACAAATATTCATAAATAACACTGAACTTAAAAATAAAACTTAAAAAATAAAATCTTCCACTCAGTGAAAAAATAATTCTTAAAATAAAGGCCTACAGTATTCATATTTTCTCAGATCTGTTTTAAAATGACATTTTTAAATGTTCATAGACATGTTTCCTTATGGTTCTTGGAATAGAAAAGTAAATTTATGAATGGAGATTTTTAATTGTCAAAAGTAACATGTTGGCCAGGCATAGTGTCTCGCACCTGTAATCCCAGCACTTCAGGAGGCCAAGGCAGGAGGATCATGACGTCAGGAGTTCAAGACCAGCCTGACCAACATGGTGAAACCCCATCTCTAGTAAAAATACAAAAATTAGCTGGGCGTGGTGGCACGAACATGTAATCCCAGCTACTCAGGAAGCTGAGGCAGAAGAATCATTTGAACCCGGGAAGCAGAGGTTGCAGTGAGCCAAGATCACGCCACTACACTCTAGCCTGGGCAACAGAGTGAGACTCGAGTTTCAAAAAAAAAGTATGTTGGGGAAATTAAGTTTTAGCATGAACCGCTATCATAAAACAATTCTATGCAGAGACAAAACTCTGGTTATGTGACATAAATAATGTTGTTATGATAACATATGTTGTGAAAACAATTAGTGATGTATTTTAAAATGTATGCAGATGATCATACAAAAACGGCAAATGGGATATTTCATAAAAGCAAAAAATTCATTTTTATGTTAATACAGTAATAATATTCATCATTGTGCAATACTAGAGTGTGGACCTTTGTACTACAATATGAGGAAAAAACGAAATATTTGCTTTTCTTATATAAATTTTCTCCCATAATGTTTGCTTCTTACTTCAGTATGGGAACTAAATTGCTTAATATCTAAACCAATATGAAGGAACTATATTACAATTATTTAATCGTTATTTAAAAGCAGCCAGGAATTATTTTACCAAAAGAAGATATTTTCATGTGTTGATTTAAATCACTACAAATTTCTAAGAATGATTAAATAGATTTCAAAATAACTAAACATAAGCATATCTGAATGAGAATAAAAATTGTGTTAAATGTCATTTAATTACATTTGATATTTTTCACTTATTTGCAGAGTTTTCTACACCAGAAGTTCCAACGTCAAGCTACATTCAAAGAGAGAAACAATACATTCGGTACACAAGTTAGGAAGAGTCGGAAATTCCTCATAAGATAGAACATGTGCAATTGAATTCCAACTATTAGGTTTTCTGTGGAAAAAAAACCATACATGTGTGCATATATATGGCCATCTGATCATTTTAAAAGCATACTCAGAATACATTAAAAAAACACCATGAGTATGAATTATCTATGCTCTAAGTACTTAACTTCTCTTTCTGCATTTATGTCATCACTTCTTATCTCTTTATATCTTGAACTTTTTCTTTCCCCCCACCTCACTCTGTGACTACTAAACAAAACTTTCATTTCTAATATCCAACTTCATTAACTCAGCAGGGATGGCAGATATCACCAAAATGCAGCGTAACACTTGCAAACTGATTTATGACATGCATCTTTATAAAGTGCTCAGTGAAATGCATAAAAAACTGATTGCAAATTGGTCATATAGAATGTTGAGTACTTTATTAATTACTGGCTAAAGCTAAGGAGCTACACAACAACATCATATCTAAATAAGGAATTTTATTTGAAATGTGAAATTTCATCATGAATAAATTCTATAAAATGAACTGAGAATTGCTAAGTGATTTTTGAAATTGAGTGGTGCTGTAGAATGATCCCATGATCTGGGCCCCTTACTCCTTTCTTTCCTTTCCTCCTTCATTACTTCTTCTCTTACTTTATCCCTCCTTTATTTAAAAGGTATCTGGAGTGGAGCAAGATGGTGGAATAGAAGGCACCATCAATTGCTGCATATCACCCCAGCAAGGTCACAAATTTAACAACTATCTATACAGAATGAACCAATTATATAAGAACCAAAATTCAGGTAAACCCTCGTAGTACCTGGTTTTAACTGCATGTTACGGAAAGAAATACTGAAGAGACAGAAAAAAAAAAAACACCTTGAATCACTGACACCACGTCTCCCCAACCCCATCCAGTGGCAGAGTGGAATGGATCATCTCTGTGCATTGGGGAAGGGACAGCACAACAATTGTGAGGCATTAAACTCAGTGCTGCCTGTTACAGCAGAAAGGAAAACAGAACAAAACTCAGCTGACACCCACCCACAGAGGGAGCATTTAAACCAGTCCTAGCCAGAGGGGAATCCTGCATCCCAGTGGGTGGAACTGAGTTTGCCTGCGCAAACCTTGCCACCCAGGGCCAAAGTGCTTTGGATTTCTAAGCCAACTTGATAGGCAGTCTAGGACACGGGGACTACAACACTTAAGCATTCCTAGTGCTGAACTGGGCTCAGGAGCAGTGGCCTCAGGGGGCATGTGACCTACTGAGACATCAGTGAGTGCAGCTAAGGGAGTGCTGGCATCACCCCTCCCCTAAACTCTCAGTTGTACAGCTTGTAGCTCCAAGAGTTCTCTTTTTTCCATTTGAGGTGAAGAGAGGGAAGAATGTGGAGGAATTTGTCTTGCATTTTGGATACCAGCTCAGCCACAGCAGGATAGGGCACTGGTCAGAGTCATGAGGACCCCATTCCAGGCCCTAGCTCCCAGGCAGCATTTCTAAACACACCCTGGACCAGAAAGAAACCTGCTGCCTTGAAGGAAAGGACACAGTCTTAACAGCATTCATCACCTGCTAACTGAAGAGCCTTTTGGCCCTGAACAACCAGTAGCAATAGCCAGGTACTACATTGAGGGCCTTGGGTGAGACGCTGAGGATTGCTGGCTTCAGGTGAGACTACCTCATTACCAGCTATGGTGTATACAGGGTGAAACTCTTTCTGCTTAAGAAAACCAGGGGGAAAATAAAGGAGACTTTATCTTGCACCAGCATGGCCATGGTGGGATAGAGCAACAACTGGGTCCCTGATTCTAGAACTGACTCTTGGACATCATCTCTGTACCTGCCCTGGGCCAGAAGGGAGCCCACTACCCTGAAGGGTGAGTCCCAGGCCAGGCAGCATCTATCATATGCTCACTGGAGCTCTGGGGCCTTAGGGCCCAGGGTTTCACTTGCAGTACTCTGGCAGTACTCCCCATGGTCTGTGGTGGTGGTGGCTATAGAGTGAGGCCCCTCTGCCTTTGGAAAAGGAATGGGAGAGTTAGAGGAACTGCATCTTGTGGTATGACTGCCAGCTCAGCTGTAGTACAATAGAACACCAAGCAGACTTCTAAGTTTTTGACCCTAGAACCTGACTCCTGATGGCACTTTTGGACCTACCTGGAGTCTGCAGGTTCTTGCTGCCCTGAAAGGAAGGACAGAGGACTGGCTGGCTTTGCCCCTGCTGATTGTAGAGCCCCTTGAAAAAACATAGGCAGTAGCCAAGGAGTGATTATTGCAGGCCTTTGGGGAGACACAGTGCTGTGCTGGCTTCAAGTCTGACCCAGAGCGGTCATAGAGTGGTGGTGGCCACAGGGATGCTTGCATCATTCCACTCCCACCTTTGGGTGGCTCAGAACAGAGATAGAGACACACTGTACATTTGGGAGAAAATAAGGGAAGGGTACAAGATTCTCTGCCTGGTAATCCAGATCTTCCCCAAGACCAATAAGGCAGTATCTAGGAGTGTGCAAGAACCACAATGTTACTGAGCTTGGTTGGGGTGCTCTCTGAAGCAGATAAGTTTAGTTCAGAACACCCAAGTCCTTTGTGGAAGAGGTCAGAGCATGTATTTACTCCCTAAACCTTTGGAGAATGAACTAAATGGACCTCTCTCATACCTTAATCACTCAATCTCTCTATTTCTCCCTGCCTCTCAATCTCCACACTTTCTCACTATATCTAGTCTTCCAGCATCTCTTTTCCTGTGTATCCCTTCCGTTCCTGGCCAACCCTCTGAGTACAGTCTTTCTTACAAAGAGCCCTAGAGTAATGATCAAGTCTTAAGACTCCTGGGGTTTTGCAAATTCCCAGGCCTGGAGTGTTGAATGTAGAATTTGCTGAGAATCTATGGATGGAGGAGAGGGGTAGAAAATATAGAGGACTTCTAGTCTGGTTAAATTGGAGCTAGTTATTCTTTACAATATCTAAAATTGAACACATTTCTTCACCAAAATATACTGTCCCTACTGTGTTAAACTCTCCTGGATCTAAGATGTGTCACAAAGTATCCTATACTAATCTGTCAACTATTGATTGTGTTCTTTAGCCATCTCTCCTTAATTCCCTGGGGTGGGAAAAGGGAAACTGGGAAAAGAAAAAAGAGAAAACAAAATTGTTAAGTGTTCACCAGTCACTGTCCCTTCTGCTTCCTAAAGAGATCTCAAATATGTCCCTTTTCCTACCATTATCTCTTTTATTCTGACACTATCATCGTCCGAAACACCACTATCTTTTCCCTGGACCGTTGTAACCGACACCTAATTGGTTTCCTCACATCTTACACTTGCTTCAGTCCAATCCTATTGCCACAGTCATCTAGGGTATTATTTTAATATGCATACCTAGTCTTGTTATATTTCTCCTTAAACCTCTTCAATAACTTCCAATTACCTTAGAATAAAATTTCAAGTTCTCACCATGGAGCACAAGGCCCTCTAAGACCCCAAGATATCAGGTCTCTGTCACTCTGTCTTTCAGTTTCTTTCTATTTATATTTACATCTATATCTATATCATGTACGTGTTTGTGTCACTGTGTAATATTTATAAGAATACTTACTATGATGTAAGAAAAAATGCTTTACATGCATTCTTATGCCATCCTCCCATAACTATGAGGTAGGTACTCTTATTTTCCCCATGTATAAATAAGGAAATTGAAGCTTTAGGTAGTTTAGTAACTTGTGCAAAGCCACATAATTAGTGTCAGAGCCCAGGGTTCAAACATAATCAGTTTGATTAAAAAGTCTGTAACTAGGGCAATATATTTTTGTCTAATGTCTTCACTCTCCATCTTGCTATGTGTTCTAGTCATACTTGACTTTCAGTTTCTCTTTTAGTGCCTTCTTACATGTTTTTCCCTCTGGATAAGCTGGTCATAAATAAGTCCTTGGAATTCAGGCACTTCTATGGAAGATATGGCCATCCCAGAGAAAAAGCCTCTAAGTTAGGCTGCCCCTGCAAGAGTTGTTGGTTGGTTGAAAGTTTTCTATGAATGCCACATAGTCCAGAATAGAAACAAGCTACAGGTTGTTGGAACATTCATTTATTCATACTAAGAATAATGTAGGGCCAGACCCTGGGTGGTATGACTTCTGTAGGTGTTTAATACAGCACAAGACCAGGCTCTAACTGGATTCTATCTCTCTAAGCAGGAATAGACATTGAGTGTTCAGAGTTTTAGCCTCTTGATGCTGAGGCTGGCCTAAGAACAGGGTCTGGGTGGTTAGAGATTTTGTATGTATGCACTAAAAACTTCATAAGTTGTCAGAGGCTTCTATTGTAAGTGCTATAGTCAGGGTAGGAGAAGACTGAAGATGGTCAAATGCATAGTTATATATAGGAGATAATCTAGCATAATGGTTAACAGCTTAAACAACTCAGTAGTGAGCTTGCTGCACTGAAATTATGGATTCCTCACTTCCTAGCTGTGAGCATTGGGCAAGTGACTTATCCTTTATCTCCGTTTCATCTTTAAAGTGGGAATAACAGCACTCCATAGGGTTGTTATGAGGATGAAATAAGACATGTGAAACACCTGAAATAGTGCCCAGCAAATAGTGATTAGTCAGTAAATCATAACTATTATCTGCTATAGCCTAGTACAGGAATAAAGCTAAAGTGGACAAAGGTTTCTTATGTAGGTGCTCTCTGCACTCCAAGGAACAAATCCCATGTTTGAAGTTATAGTATATGTTTGAACATACCTGCCTTACCTGACTTTTCCAAACTTTGGCCCATATATATATAGACACACACACACATACAGAGAGAGAATATATATATTCTGGATTGGATGAGTGCCTTACTGGGCATTTCATAAGACTGGAAAAGGGGTATGAATATAGCAGAATTTTTTTTCTCATATGACTTCAAAAAAGAGGTCACTTAAGGCCAAGAGAAACAGGAAGATATGATAGGGCCAAGAAGAAAGGTGAGGTCAAGTTTTCAGTTTCTGTCTCTAAAGTGAAGGGGTTAGATTAGATGACCTCTCAGTTGCCTTCCAGAAATGGTACTGCATCATCCAAATCCTGGATGATGAGCCAAGATTAAGAAGACTAGGTCCACAAAGTGGGTCAGATCTAGAAGGACAATTAGCAGAGACCAGAAACCCAGGTGGGCTGACTGGGAACAAAAATCCTAGACTAAAGTCAAGGCCACAAAAGTGTTGCTGTGTAATTATGGTATCTGTGTGACAGGCATAGGGATCAGAAGCGAGAGAAGCCTCGTACTGTACCAGACTCCTTTATAGGCAGGAGCTTTCTACATGTTTCCTGCCCATAGTAACTTAGAATAGTTTTCAACATGTGTGCAATGCTTGACTCTAATGAAACAAAGGTAGGAGTGACTGTTTGAAGTAATAGACTAGGAGAGCAGGGAAAGAAATACTTCTAGATAATGACCATCAGAGCAATTTTCTTTGTTAGGAGTTGAGGAGGAGATCAAAACGAACATTCCCAGTTCCGGAAAGTGGCAAAGGAAGACCATGAATTCATATCTGACTCTAATGTCAGTGCTCTTAACCTATTGGTTTCCTGTGGCTGCCATAACAAATTACCACAAATTGGGTGACACAAAATAGCACCTATTTATTCTCTCATTGTTCTGAAGGTCAGAAGTTT